CGGATCCTCGTTCGGAAATCTTGAAGGTGCCAGTTTTCCAGGGTTGCGGAAAGCCCTGCGACCCGCAGAGTCCTGCGGCGGCAGGCGGCTCAGGAGGCTGTTCTCACACCCCTCAGCAAGAGGCTCGAACGAGCCCTCAGGAGCAGGGGCCCTCGGGCTGATGCGCGGGATGGAGACCCGGAGCCTGGTCACAGCGAGGACGGGGAAGGGGACGGTGCAGCCATAGCTCCTGTGCTGTGAAGAGCTTGAAAGTGAGATGGCGGGCGTGTTTTTCAATGCAGTCAGTGCTTAAGAGCATAATTCTCCAGACCCAAAGGAGGTGACAGGTCCCTCGGTGAAAGTCTGTATAATCCTTTTTATTGCACCGAAAGCCCATAAAACAACCAGAGCTGGGGTAGGCGGGTGCTGGCGGATGCACAGCCCCAGGGCAAGGTGAGACCTCCAGCATCTGTTGCCCCCTCTCCTGGGGAAGCCCTGTCCCCACCAGGTACTGCTCCCCCCTGGGAACTGGCGGTGTCGCACAGTGGGTTGGAGTGGGATGGTTCCCAGTGCCCCACTGGTGGCCCCCCCATCCCTTAAGACATCCAACCCACCCGTGGGTGAAGGCCTTGGCAACAGCAGCTCTCCCGGGGGTGGTGTGAAGGGCCAGGGCCACGCCAGCAGCAGGGACGCACCTCCACGGCCACCTGAGCCCTCGGGGTGAGTTTTGCAGGATTTAGTAGCCCCCCATCTCTAACTGTAACGACTACAAATTAATAAAAAGAAAGAGGTAGGTTTGCATTAATCATTCCCTAAAAGACTGTTGTTTAAAAGAAAATACGTTGCTTAAATCTGCTTGATGACTTCAGCAAAGCCAGTGGCAGTATCCATGCGGAGCAAGTGTGTAATTCCTGCCCGTGGTTACAGCAGGTTTTGTTCTGCTCCCCTCTGGGCATTGCCTCAGCCCTGGGGGTTTCCTTGTGACCCCTTTTTCCTCCGTAACTGATGAGTTACAGGGGCAACTCCCTCCGTTTCTCTGGGCCAGTGTGAGTGCCTGCAGCTGCTCCTGCAGTTGCCTCCTCCAAACCTGGAGCGGCCGTGACAGCTCAGCTGCTGCCTGATCCTCACTGGAGCCTCGTCCTAGACCTTCACCTGAACCAGGGGCCTGTGCTCTGCTCAACCTGCCATGGCCTGGGCCAGCACGCCGCGGCAGGAGGGGACGTCACGGCCGGAGGGGACACTGCGGCAGCACGCGGAGGATGCAGCACGTGCCAGTGCAGCCCAGCTGAGGGCAAACCCCTGGCCTCTGCATGGCACAGAGCCCTCATCCTGAATTTTGCCCCAAGCCACCTCTCCTCGAACCAGATGGAAGAGAGTGAGAAGCCCCTGAGCCCTTCCCCGGGGGCTTTGCCTTCCAGTGGCAAAGCAGCAAGATCTAAACGCTATTTATTTTTATTTAATACTCAAGTAGAGGATGCTAATGCTGCGAGGAATTCAGGGATTTTAGCAGGAAAAGGTGTTTTTCTGAAAGTACTATGGGATTGTAATCTGTCCTTGGGTTGGCATTTAGGGCTGAGGGCTCACTGGTGTATTTTGTGAGATAAATGACTGAAGGTGTGCCATGGTTTCTGGTTGAAATCTCAGCTGTTCACACACAGCTATGTGGACTAATGCAGCAATCTTAAAAAATCATGAGTGAAGGATGAAAACAATACTATTAAGTAAAAGTTGGGCAAGGTACTACAGAAAAGCAGGGACATCAAAAAGTGCTGACAAAATTCAGCTTAATTCATAGTGGTTGTATTCCAGTATTTGTAATAAAATGTAACCTTTAGTGACATGCTATCAGACATTAAATATCTGCTGGGTGCAGCTGGTGAGCTCAAAGGGTGAAAGACGCTGGTGAAGAGCTAAATAGAGGGAAAGGGAGAGGGAGATGAATGAAGACCTGTGTGACTGCCACTGCGGGGATGGGGTGGGGTGGGGTGGGGTGGGATGGGACAGGACGGGATGGGGTGGGATGGGATGGGATGGAATGGGATGGGATGGGATGGGGTGGGATGGGATGGGATGGGATGGGGTGGGATGGGATGGGGTGGGACAGGGTGGGATGGGATGGGGTGGGACGGGATGGGATGGGGTGGGATGGGATGGGATGGGACGGGATGGGATGGGGTGGGGTGGGATGGGGTGGGACGGGATGGGGTGGGGTGGGACGGGATGGGATGGGATGGCTGGCAGGATGCTGACTGGCTGCTGGAGGGTCGCACTGGAGCCAGGCGCTTCTGGGGGTGCTGGCTCAGAGGCACAGCACCCATGGGTGCCCAGAGCCTCTGGGAGGGTACAGTGGTAAGGACAGAAACCCCAGCCTGTGGGTTAGGCCGGGTGAGCTCGCTCACTGCTGCTGGGCTGGAGGTGTGCAGATCACACTGGGGTTTCATCTGCCTTTTCAGGTGATGCAGCGAGGTTGTGTCTTGGGGTGAAGTCTCAGTGGGTCTGCGGCCAGCAGCAGACTTTGCCATTCATTTCAGGCCAGGCAGCACCTTCCCTGCAAAGCTTCAAGAAGCATGCCCCCCATGTGTCAGTTCTAGTAAACCTCATCAATGCAAACATCCTTCTGCTTTGTGTATCTCTGTCAGTCATGTTCGCCTAACATTTAATTCTGCTTTATTTATATTCCCTCTTCTGTTCTGTAACAGGCTCTCGGCAAATCAAAAGAGAAATGTTATAAACACTTTGAAACTCTTTTACTTGGTAAACCTCTGTCTGCTGTGGCTTCGTAAAAAATGAGCTTCCCGATCCCTAATAAAACACAGCGATGAGGGGTGAAATAAATGTGAATTGGATTGACAACAGTGATAGGCTCATGCACACCTTCCTCCTTTATGAAGTTGCAGACTAGAAAATGTTTACGGTCCCGCTTGGACTATGCTGTGTGAGAGATGTAGACAGAAGGCAGCTCCCAGCACGGCAGCAAGTTCTGGGTAGAAAATAACAAAAATTGAGTCCGACTGCCAAGTTATGAAACCTTGTTTACAAATGGTTTAAATGTTTATAAAAAACATTTTGCATGAGGCTCCATGGTGGCCACATAACTTGAGTAACCGTGGCCAAAATCCTTTTTTAAATAGCATTTTTTGAAAGCTGCTGCCTGGGTTGGCAGCCTGTGTATGCTGGGGAGAGCTGTGGCAGTTGAGCCAGCGACGATGCTCCTGTGCCCAGAGCTGCAGCACAAGCCCTGGAGGAGCCTAGTATTTTCCCCCAAAAATGTGCCTTTTTCCCACAAAATGTGGCGACCAAGTACTGACTTCCAGCGATTGCGACTGAATCTCTTCTAGCAGTTTTCCCACTTGCTGCATCTCAGCCCTCAGACTTGGTCGGTGACTCCTGGTCTTACAATGGCAGTGATGAGCAGTCTGCCTGGCCCCGCTCCAAGAACCAACCAGAAAAAGAAAGGATTATTAAAACACATTTTAATAAATATTAACGTATTTTCCCTTTCTTTCCGCCTTTCGATTCTTTCTTTCTGCAGCGCTGCCCGCGGACTTCGTTCTGGGTTTAACTTTGCACTGGTGCTGGTGTGTTCAGGCCATTGTTCCGGGGGGCTCAGGCGTGGTTTGGGGGCTCAGGCGTGGTTGGGGGTCTCAGGTGTGGCGGAGGGGCTCAGACATACTGTGCAGCAGATGAAGGAGGGCCTTCGTGGGGAAGGAGGGGAAGGGATCCCTCCTGCTCTCCCCCAGCAGGTTAGTTTTGAGGGAGGTCTCCTTTTCGGTGCTGCCGGGGGGAACGCCGCCGCAGTCCCTCTCTCTGCCTGCGAGCTCAGTCATGCTGGTGGCGGAGGTTATTATGGTTTGCCGGGGGGTTATTGTATCTGCTAATCTGGATTTACAGCTGCTGTGTACTTCCCTAATGGGCCGTTGCTATAGAAAACAGAAGAATTTAACCAGGACTTAAGAAAGAGTCAGTAACTGGGGGTGGCATGAGAGGGATGTGTTGGAATATCACGTTTTGAGGAGTTTTAATTTTTTTGATGTAAATTAATGTGAATACCAGTGCTTCAGATGTTACATTTGCTCACAGAGCCTGAAGAGGGCTGCCGAGCCTAACCCGATTGTGCTTGATGGGGAGGGTATGGTGGTGATGGGCAGCATTCCTGGAGACAGGGTCAGGAGGGTGGAACATGTACACATCCTCCTTTTTTCTTTTTTTCTTTTTTTTTTTTATTTTCCCTACAACCTCTATCGAAACACTTCCTAAGCACCGAGGATCTCCTAGTGCGTATGAAACTTGGACACTGAGCAAACGATGAGGCCAGTATAATATCCATGCTGGGAAACCGCGTAACTCTTGGAGCACAAATTCAAACTCTAGCGCAGGAGCACCCTGTGTGAAGTAGAGCGGATTCGGCAGCATCCTTACACTGAAAGGCTCCGAGCACTGCAGCCATGGGTGCCACATGGGTGCTGATTTCCATGATTACAAGGGATTCTCAGGGCGTGTTTCCCGCCAGACGCCACCCAGTGCAGGTGATTAGGGCTGATGCAGGTTAAGGAGAGTGAGGGGTGGGCCCTGCCGGCAGTCCTGGGGTCCCTCCACTCCAGCCCCCTGCCGTGATGGTCCCGCAGGGAGGACCCCAAAAGTAACAGTGGTCCCATCGATCCACTCCCTAACCACAGGCTGTGGTGTAAACTGGCACCGACCCCAGCCACATTGTGGGGCGCCCTGAGGCAAGCAGCCCGAGGCTGTGGGTGGCCCTGGCCTCGCCGGGGGCTGAGCTGGGCTGCTGGCTCACAGGCATGCCCCATCTCCCCTCCATCCCCGCTAGCCCATGTCTGCTGCTCCCTGCTGCTCCCTGCTGCTAGCATCACCAAAGCAAACCTCCCACCCGTCCTACTCCTGCTCGTTTTTGCTCTTCCAAGGGAGGCTCCACAGCCCTTTTAACTCCCTGGGCGCAGCGTACAGAGGGTTTGCTTTTTAACCTGACACCCAGCACAGAGGGCATGGGGCACTCCTCAAGTCTATTTTTAAAATTTATTTTATTTAAGTTGTTCTCCTGAAGGCTACAATTCAGTGAAGAACTGCACACGTAACTTGAATGGTGAGTGAGAGGACGTAGCCGGCACGATGCCTCCTGCCACGGGGGCTTTGAACTTCAGGACCACATTTAATGGAAATATTTCTGCTGCTGAAATAAGCGTTTGCTTCTGTTGCTGACCTTGGTAAAATCTGACATTCATTTCACTGCTTTGCAGCCTGCTGTAAAATACAGGCAAAAACCACTTCAGAAATATTTCTGTACCCAATGTTCATTGAATTGTAGGAGGCTTTGGTTGCCGGGTTTTGGCAGTATCGTGCCCAGCCCCTGCACGAGGCAGCGCGGGGCGGCGGAACGGGCTGGCTTTGCTCAGCCACTGTGGAAAGCAATGACAGAGGTTTCTGCCGCCGCAGACCCGAAAGGCTGCAGGGCATGGTCTGGGAGATGCTTCGAGGCCTCCAAAAGCTTCCGTACGCGGCCGCTTAATCACCTATGCAGCTGTGGAACAAATAGCACATTACTTGCTTTCAATATTAAACGCAACATTCATGCTTTAGACCTGTCTGGCCTCTTCCTCCAGGTGCCTGCTCAGGTGCAGTGAACTAGCAGTAAGGTGCGTCTCCGCACACCGCGAGGAAGTGTTCTTCCACCGCCGTAACACAAAGAAGTGTAGACGTCATTCTCAGTCCTTTTCCCCCCCAAATACAGAAACATAATGACAAAGAAGTACCATGAAGGAACAATGAGTCCGCTAGCAGAGAGGACTTCTGGCCTGCTTGCTTACCTCTAAGAGTTACCCCGGCTGATCTCCACCGAGTAGAACTGGTGCCCAGATGGAGTGACCGACACTGCTCTCTACTGCGCTGCCAGCTGCTTCCCAAGGGCAGGCTCCTGCCCCGTGCTCCTGCCTCCTCGTGTGCCCCCTCGCCACACGTGTCCCCAGGGCTGCGGCACGGCAGCATGGGGGGCTACTGTGGATTTTCTGGGTTGTTACAATTGTTTTCCCTAAAAAAATAAAAAATAAAATAATAAAAATAAAATAAAATAAAACTAAACAAAACAAAATAAAACAAAACAAAACAAAACAAAATAAAATAAAATAAAATAAAATAAAATAAAATAAAATAAAATAAAATAAAATAAAATAAAATAAAATAAAATAAAATAAAATAAAATAAAATAAAATAAAATAAAATAAAATAATGTCTGAAAATTCAAAATCTTATAAGAGAGACTGATATATTTTTCATGACACCTGATAGGATGGTCAAAGTTCAGATTTTTGTCTATGTACCCTGTACAGCTCCTGGTGACCAAGAATAAATACAAAATGTTAATGTCAGTATGACACTGATGGTGCAGAAATATAAGGCAAGAGAGAAGTGTTTAGGTGAGAAGGTGCATGTATGGACTGCTAAATGCAAACTGCATTGAGAGTTATGGTTACAAAATAAATTCTTTAACTAGGTCTTTAAACTAATTTGTGACATGAAAGGACCTTTTAAACCAGTCTCCTTTTATGCCTTTAACTATTTTAAATAAAAAAAATGCTGTTTACATCCTTGAACGCCTTGCTTCAAACTGCACATCTGATTATTCCTCCTGGTTTGGTGTTTGGGCTTATTTGGGTATTTTTATTACAGATTTGAACTGCCACTTCTGGCTGGCAGGTATTGCTCACCCATTTGTGCCAACTGAAATGGGACCAAAATAGGACAGTACGGTGTGGTGTGAAATCAAACCAGTTACCAGGAAATCTGGTGTCAGAGGGGAAAACTGGAAGGGATATATGCTGTCATCTGCTGACCCCTCTCTTGCTGCAGCTCAGTGATCCCTGCTGTTTCAAGGCTGGTTTCACAGACTGCTTCTTTGCAAACATTTATTTAGAGTAGATAGACACTACTACCTGACTTGGTTTACTTCTCTACAGTGGCATGGAAATAACTATGGGGACGATGTGTTTAAAGCTACGGGGCATTGTAAAATAGAGGGACCTTTTACATACCACTGCAAAGGAAAACTAGGTGAAGAAAACTACAAAACGGTAAGAAAAAACAGGAAGCTCAAAAAATGATAGCAACCTTTCCCTCTGTGCTGATGTTCACGCCTGAACCCTTTTTGAGCACCACACCAGATGTGGGACCTGAGGGCTCAGTATTGTGAGCCATTACCGTTCAAAGTGAAGGAGCAGATGGAGGCTCTTCCAAAGTACCCAATTCAGGATATCACCGTCAGTGAGACTTCTGCTTCCAGGTCATTTAAATACTCCTGAGAAATCCCATCCTCTTCCGTGAGCTCCAGGATAGCAGCAGATCCCTTTGTGCGACGTAATCCCTGGTCTCAAGCGTTGTGTCTGCCAGTGTGGACGTCCAGCTGCTTACTGCCCACAGGGTCTTTGACCACCACACAGATGTTTTCTGGGTATCTATTTGGGCCCATGACGCTGATTTTTTGTTCCAAGTTGTTTAAAAGTAATTCTTAAAAACTCACTTCAAAATTTCAAAAAAGTCAGCTCAATGATCACATTACGTTTTGCTGAGGCATCGTAGCACAGCTCCACCACTCACTCCTCCCTACCCGAGAGCAGCCAAACACCCTCCTTGCACGGCTTCTGGGTGGAAACACTCATGGAAAAGTCAAGACAATGAGAAAACTTCACCATACCAAAGGGCATTAAAAATCTCTGCATGCTCTGTTTAAAGCCGGAGCTGAGAAATGCTGGTAGATGCACGAGGCATTGCTGAGCACTGAGTAGACTCTGTAAAGCCGTGCGCACCTCTCGTGATGGTTCTCAGGCCTTTCCTCCTCATCCTGCTTTACTCCCAAGACTTGCTCTTCTACTTTCTGGTTGAAGCTCCAAGCAATTAAAATCATGATAGATCACTTCAAACTTAAAAGATGTCTGATTTTTAGAGGGCGGATACTTATGCCGCTCAGCACAATGAATAAAATAGGCCCCAAATGTGTCATTCAAAACAACTGAGTCACGATTTAAAATATAGGCCTATAATCTTCCCCACACACACATTACCACACCTTGAGGTATGTCAGAAATTTAATTTCACTCTCATAAACATCCATGGTGGACCAGAGCGTGCCATTTCTGACGCTAGTTCAAAGGTAGCTCTGCATGAACACCAGCTGAAAGTCATTTCTGTGGCATGTAAATTCAGTGGGCAAGGCAAATAATTTTGACAGTCCCGCCTCAGCTGTCCTAGGCAGGTTCTGCCTATACCTACAATGTATATCTGTTTGGACCCTTGAATTTCCCATGTCACCCATAGATGATTTCTGAGGATTTTTGGAGACTGATGAAAAAAGGCAGAGAGATGTTCATTTTCTCTTTTTGCTCTACAATAAATATTTTCTTTTTCCCCTCAAATGAGATGGATTCAAGACGCTGAATCTGTTGTAACTGGAATTAAAATCACACCTCAGCTGGTATTCCCCTTGTGAAGACTTTGTAGGAAGCTTTCGTGCTTCTCAGCGAAGCGTACCAGCGGCTATTGAACACTCTTGGGACACAGATCCCTGCAGAACGCCCCACAGGACGAGCATTTTAACCACCTTCAGAGTCTTGGTGTTGAGGGGGGAGTGAGATTCTGCATCCTCAATCTTGGTCCAAGCTTGAGGGCTCCTCTGTTGCCTCCGCTGCTGCCGCTGACCCATCTCCGTCTGGGAGGAAGCCGGTGTCTGCGGGGATGTGCAGTCGTGGGGTACATGGACACGATGTGTCCAAGTGGCCCGTCACAGCACGTACCCAGCACCCTCACGCTTTCGTTTGGTCCATCGCAGGCACAAAGTATTTTCCCCTCTGGTGCAGCAGCCCCTACTTGCAGTGGTGAAAGGGCTGCCACAGGTGTAAGTGGGTAACTTTAAAAGCAGTAATATGATTCTACCAACTAAAAAGAAGGTAATATTTTTTTTTCTTTATGTAAATCAACACCCGTGCATGCTTATAGACCCTTACCCGCCATCACCTCCTAGACACCAGACCACCATGGTGTTATTTCTGCTGGTAGGGGCAGGACGATACTTACAGCTACTTTTAAGCGTGCCTGCTCCGTGATGGCTTGTCATTAAAAGAGGGCTTTTGTGCTCCGCTCTTGCAGACGCGCATTTCGCATCACCCCGCTCTGCCTTTGCGTGGAGAGGGGTGCGCAAACCGCGCTACCCCCGCGGGGTCCCTCCCGCATCGCTCCCTCTGCCAGGCACACACCCACCCCCCCACCCCCCCCCCGCCCTGAGGGGAACGGGGGTCAGAGCCCCGCCCGGGCCGCTTTCTTTAAAAAACTCCCTCTTGGCAGGCAGGGGGGATTAAAAAAAAATAAAATAAAAACAAACAAAAAAAAAAAACCCAAAAAACCCAAACCAAACCAAAACACCAACAAAAACCCCAAAGCCCCCCCAAAATCCCCCCGCGCCCGCGGCAGGCAGCGTTACCCGCCCCGCCGGGCCCCGCCGCCCGCCCGGCCCCAGCCCCGGCCCCGGCCCCGGCAGAGGAAATATTGCAATGTTGCAAGCTGACGTAAGGACATTACAAGGAAAGGGCTACATTTCGGAGTGTTTATGAAAAGCCTCGGTACTGTACTGTCACCAGGGGGCACGCAATAGAATGCATTTCGCCAAACATTTTGAATAATAATCATTTAACAACAACAACAACAAAAAAAATCCCCAGTCCGGTCGGCGCTCGCAGAGCCGAAGGAACCATGCAGCCAAACTTTGGGAAGCCCTTTATTATTTTTCTGACATTGATCGCCCGCCCTTGAGGAGCCGTAATTGCATTATCTGATTTTTTTTTTTTTTAATTTTTTTTTTTTTCCTCCTTTCCCCCCCCCCCCCCCCCCCCTTGCCCCCCCTTCTCCCTTCTCCCCCACCCCGTCTCCTCGACATCGCAAATTCGCTGCCGGTTCGCAGGAGCAGCCGCCGAGGCGACCCCGCGGCAGGAGCCGCCACCAGCCCCGCTCGCTCCGCTCCTCCGGGCGTCCAGCCTTGTTTTGAAGGGAGCTAACATGGCGACGGTGCCCGTCTATTGCATCTGTAGGCTGCCCTACGACGTAACCCGCTTCATGATCGAGTGCGATGCCTGCAAGGACTGGTTTCACGGCAGGTAACACAAAGAGATCGGGCCTTTCCCCCCCTTTCGCCGCGGTCCCGCCGCCTTTCGCCGCCTTTTCTCCGCCGCGCTGCGCGGGGAGCGGCGCTGCCGGAGCCGCCGCCGTGTGCAGTTTTCCAACAGGCCTTTTTGGAGAGGAGGAGGAGGAGGAGCCACTCTGCCCCCGTCTCTCGCTCGCTCTCTCCCCGTTGTATTTTTTTTGTGTTTTGTTTTGTAAATTTTGCTGGATTCCCCGCACAAAGCTCCCCACCCCCCCCACCCCCCCTCCGCCATCCCCGGGGCTCCGGTGTCACCGAGGCGGGGGGGGGGGGGGGGGGGCATTGTGCTTTCCTCGGGGAGGGGATCGCTCCCGCCGGGCGGCTGGGCGATGGCAGCGCGGCGCGGCGGCGGGCTCTTACAGCCGGGATGGTGCGTGTCCCGCGCCGCCCTCCCCTCGGCTCCACACTGCTTCCCCCACGGAGACGGGCCCCGGGGCGGCGGGGGGGGGGGGGGGGGGGGGGCTGGGGCGGCCCGGGGGGCCGCGGCGGCGGCCGGGGCTCCGGCGCCCTGTCATCGGGCTCCGGCGCCTGGCGCGGCGGGCCGGGCCGTCCTCTTAGCCGGGGAGGATTCCGGGCACCCCCCCCTCCCCAGCCCTCCGCGGCTCCCCGGGGCGGCGGGAGCGGGGAGGAGCGGGGGGGGCGCAGCCGGGGTGTTTCCCGGCTGACAGGGCTACCATCGCCGCGCCGGCCCTGCGGCTTAACCCTTGGCGGGGCGGGCGGCGCGGCGGGGCCCAGCTCCGCGCCCGCCCTGGCGGCGGGGCGGCAGGCGAGGGGAAGCCCTTCCGCGCCGGGAGCCGGGCGGGGCGGGAGAGCGCCTGCCCTGAGGCGGGGAGGGCCGGGCGGGGGAGACCCCGCTCGCCCAGAGCCCGCCCCTGAGCCCGGGCAGGGCACCCTCCCGCCCCGCCGGCCGGCGGGGACCGGCGCTGGTCGCGCTTCACGGTGCCTGACGGTGGGCGCCTGCGGGGCGGCCCGGGCAGGGAGCGGGCCCGCTGCCCCGGCCGCCGCCGCCGCCGCCCCCGGGCCGGCCCTGCCGAAGCGCCTGGGGCCGGGGCCTGCCGTGGCGGCGGGGGCCGCCGGGAGGGGGGAAGCGCCGGGCGGCGGCGGCGGCTGCGGCGGGGGAGGGGGAGCCTGAGCCTGGGCAGGGCGGACAGGGGCGGAGGAGTCTCCTTTTCGGCTCGTTTTCTCCCAAACCGCCCTCACGGAGCGCCGGTGCGGCAGACAATGGGCGGGCGGCCGCGCTGGAGTTGAGGCGGCCGGGCGCAACTTCAGCAGCGCGTATTATGATTTACTTCCTCCGTGAGAAATGGGGGGGAAGTTGGTGGCTGGAACGCCGAGAAGAGCCAAATTCACCGGTTTTCCCGGGAAGTCGCTTCAGCACCGTCCTGCGGGCGGGCGGGCGGGCGGCGGGCCCCGGAGCGCGGCGGCGGGGGCGAAGGGGAAGGTGCCGCGTCTGCCTGCGCGCTGCGGCGGGGGGGAGCGGGGGCTCGGAGGGGCTGGCGGGTGCGCGGGGTAACCGGGGCGGTACCGGCGGGCACCGTGCCGGAGGGGAGGGCAGCCGTGCGGGCAGGTTTCGCTTGCATCGGGTGTTACGACGGAGGAGGCTGGAGCGGTACTGGCTTTGCAGCAATTCTCCGTGAGTGATACAAGTGTAAAAAGTGAAATTAAAATCCGGTAAATCACCTGGATGAGCACTTTTTCTGACAGGTATTAAGTAAGGTTAAACTGTGACTCTTTCATCTTAACCAGCTCTGATAATTGCCTCAAAGTTGAGGACATGAAGGCGAGAGGCACGGCCTCCTCCCCTTGCAGCTCACAGGTGCCTGAGTAGGCCCTGGGTCAACTGCAGATCTTCCCCAAAACTACCCGTGAGCACAAAAGCTCCCCTTACTGTGGCATTATGAGGGTGTTCCGCCATTTGTTTAAAAAGCTGTGTAGAAACATGAAGCAGAATACTGAAATAAATAGTTCCAGTGCCAGCGTTGACAGTAGGGTGCTCTACACACGTGATTTGGGACATGAGCTTAAAGGCTGGGCACCTGTGTTGATTAAGACTTAGGCACAGATGGCAAGGTGAAGCTGATTTAGAGGCTGGAGAGAAGCTTTGAGTGTTGTGTGCTTGAAACTTAGAAAACTTAAGAACGTGAAAAAACAAAGGTTTTCATGCAAAGTGGTGACAGAGTGGATTTGTGAAAAGATAAACAGCAAAAGGAGTTAAGCTGCCTGCATACGATGGTGAATTTTGATTAAAACTGATGAAAAGAGATTAATTGTAACTGATCAATAAAATTATCATTTCATGGGCAGTTCAGGGGCAGTATCTCATGCACGCACAAAGAAGGGTATTTCATTTTGTGGTATAAAGGGACAGAATTGAATTGCAGCTCTTTTGCAGCGGTGTTGTACCCTTTTTGCTTAGCTTGCAGTGGCACCCAGAGATAGATTTTAAAGTAAAGAAAACTGAGAAGGAGGAGACTTCTCACCATGTCAAAACCTAAGATAATTGTATCGGAGAAGTTTGTGGAGTGATTTAACAGAAAACAGCTTTTATATGTACCTGTTTGCTTTTCTTGGTGTTATATGAACAAATACATCTTCAACAAAGAAAACTAAAAATCAGGATTTAGTTGTATAAAATCGTCCTGTCTCTCTCCTAGACACTCAAAGCATTCGTAGTGTTAATGTTTATATAGAAACTGTGCTGCAACCAAAAATAAGCAAGTATGCAAAGTTGCATACTGTTAAGGAGGCTTGCCCAGTTTTTTAATCATTTAATCATACTTGTATCTCTTTTTAACATGACAGACAGTGTGCATTTCAGAAAAAAAAAAAAAAAGTGTCATTTCTATTTTGATTTTGTAGAGGCAGATCAGGTGTTTTCATGCTTCCTTTCTGATGGTGGTTTCCAAATATTTAAAGAAATGCTTCCATCGTTTTATTCACATAGCAGTCATAGTCTCCCTCGCATCTGAAGCTGGGTAACATCTCTACAGCAACTTCATCAGTTCCAATGGTGAATTTATATTACAAAAATATCAAATGTATGTTAAACTTATTTAATGTGGTTTAGAAGTTGGAAGTGGGGAGATGGAGCCATCACCACATGTTGGATGAGCACTCTCCAGACCATTGCCGAGTACTTGGCACTTTGCTGATGTGCCACTGACTACAGTTTGGAAAGTACTGCTCTGTGCTGCTTCCCGATACAAGTGCCAGAGGGATGGATTTAGGGTTCTCTGGGGCTTTTAAATATCACCGATGCATTATTTTTATTGTCTTTTTCAGGGAGGATTTCTCTTGTGAAGCGATGCTAGATCTTTCTGTAGGGATCATTACTTAATCCTGAGACATATCAAGGTGGTCCCTTGCTGCTGGGTCTGAGCTTCTGTGTGGCAGAGAAGGCAGCACCTCTTGCAGGCTGCTCTTGCCCAGGCAGCTGTCATCATTGTGGTCTTAGGCCTGCATGCAGTGAAGCTGCTGCACTGGACTGTGTGGCTGAGTTGATATACATGCCTGATTGGTTTCTTCGGGTAGACAAAGATTAGGCATCCATGTGGATTTTGTAGGTCGGTAGATTGATAGTCTTGCTTGCGTGGTGTTGCCAGTCTATAGGAAGAAAGAGTAAAGAATTTACCATTGCTAGCTCTGTTCATTTCTTTCTGAAAGCTTTCTGAGCCCCTCTGTTACAACTCCATATGTTACCCATCATCAGAGACTCTTGGACGCTCTTTCTGAAGTGTGTTGAGGTATGGAGCCACCAGTATGTTCGCAGAACGCTGTTTGTGACTTCTTGTTAGGTTGAGTTTCAGTCATTTCTGTGCTTTCCGTTAGCCTGAGCAGCTTGAGACAAGCAGCTTCAAGCTCTGTCTGGAGAGGATGGAGATGATTTTGTAGGCAAAAAGACAATAACACTAAAGCAGACAGTGGGATTGTTCGACTCCTCTTTTTGTGAAGACAGTATGTTCTTTGATGTTGCTGTTTGGTCTAATGAAATCCCACATGCCTCAATTGCTTCTAGTCCTTTGCTGAAAAAGCCAACCTTGGTGCCCCATGCTTTCCTGGCTCCTCCATCGTTCTGTCACAGTACGTCTGTGTTATGTCCTCACCTCTCGCATCCCTTCCTGATGAGTTCCTGGTATGGTTCCACACGTTACCAGCAGCAGGACTGCAGGCAGTAGCAATAGCTGGGGATGTAGGTAGGTCTCTGCTGCAAAGGCCTGTTGGAATGGGAGATGGCTCTCTGGACTTTGAGAAGGCCAGGAGAGGAGGAGGGAATTGCATTGTGTACTCATAATGAAGCTGAGAATCAGCAGGTGCCCAGGTAGTCACTCGGCTACCTCATCTGTAGGCCTGGCCAGGCAAATGGCTTTGTGCAGGCAGTGCTGCAGGCTAAAGGAGATGTTTTCGGTGCCGTGGACTGTTCAGGCTTGTGTTAGGTGATGTGGGACAGGATGGTTCGCCAGCTCGGTGGAGTGGTTTGGCCAAAGCGTGTCACACCTGTGCTGTGTGAGGAGCACTGCCTTCTCCTCTGCCTCTCGGTAGTGATGCTGGTCGTGATCCCTGAAGCTGGATGTGGTTTGGGAGCTGCCTGCTTCACGGACACCCTCTGCTTGTTCCTAAGCGCCTTTGCTGAAAGCAGCAGGGGTAGGTGTGCTGACAGGTTGTGAACGTAAACTGCCGAGGGTTGGAAGAAGTCATATTTAACAAGTCTCTAAGTATCTCATCTATTATGGGCGTGTTACAGAACCTAATATTCAAGGCAAGGCAAGTCCTTTTGTACAAGTTTGTTCAACTAGAAATATGTACTGGGTTATTTATTACAGCTGTAGGTGAAGGAGGGTAAATTATTTATTTTCTCTGCAGTGGATATTTTGTTACAGGTTCTTATAACATGCACACAGTGTTGTAGGCTGTGATCATACAATCACTTGCTAAATAAAATAACAAGTATTTTTGTAT